TTATAAGACACTTCTCAAAAGTGTTCTATGAAATAGGTAATTGACACTTTATTTTAAAAGCGTCACAAAAAATTTGTTAAAATGCTAAAAAAAACCTATAATCCTACTGTAACATTTTTAGATAAAACGTTTTATGGTTTGATTTTATAAACGTAACTTCTATAAAATAATCTATTAGGACGTTTAAACATTCTAGGCGTTTTATAAAACCAAAATTGTTGTAGTGAAAAATATAATGTAATCAAGTTAACTGATTAATTGGTTTTAAAAAATATAAATAGAGGGAATTTCAGTATAATTCATACAAATATCATATCTACCATTCATCTAGTCTAATGAATATTTGGTTTAAAAAATATTTCAGTCGGTTTTGAAGACAAAACATTGATCATAATAAACAAAATATAATAATATTTCATAAATATCTAGATCATAATAAATGAATTTTCATAAATATTTAATTAATTAGTTTTTATGATTTATATTAATGATTGAGTTTGTACATGAAATCGTCTCTATATAAATAATATCTTTATTGAAATAAATGGATCAAATGCAAAAGTACAATTCTAATATTATCTTTTGGAGAACTCATTAGGTAATCCAAATGGACTTGAAATCAAGTGAGACAATACTGTTTTCGTGAGACAAGTTTCTTACACTTGAAACTTCACAACAAAACACTGTAAAAGTAACATTCACAGTGTTTTTGCTGTGAAGGTTCATATATTTTTTTTATCTTCACAACATTTTGTTAGAAAGTTTCAAATGTAAAAAAACTTGTCTCACGTGTCTTAAGAAATCAATCTTGTCTCACATGAATCCAACCCAATTTTCATTTGATGTGATCTAAATAGTTATAAGTGTTGTTAAAAAAAATAAAATTGAAAAACATAAAAAGAAATTAATATAAAAAAAAACATCTCAAATAAATAAATAAAAATTAGCTAAGAGTTTTTAGGGTATGATCATCAAATTTGGTTTCAAGTGCATGCACTTGAGACTCTTTCTATATTTTCCCAATATTCTATTTTTGGTATTTAAATAAATAAATCTAAGATAAGCTTTGTGGTCCTTCACCAATAAAATATGGTTAGATGATATGTTTCTTGTCTTTTATGTGTATTTTTAGTAACATATATACACATAGTTTATATCTACATAAAAGAATCGTGTGAGAAGAAGAGTTAAGATAAAAAACTTAAGAAGGAAATTTGAACCCTTGATCATCTTTAATATCAAACTCATCCATGAATCGTGCTTGATACGGAGATTGACTTGATGCATCTCGATGCATCTTATTCTAATGTGAATCATCAGTCATTTAACATCTAGTTGATGAAGTAAGATGGTATGCATTCAAGTAGTTGACTCATTGATTCATATAACGGCCAAGTCTGTTCTAACTTTGTATGGAACAATTTTTTATATAACTTTATGGGGTTGATTCGGCTGACAATAAATGACTTGGGTTTTTAAGATCCTCTTCAAAGGTCACCGGGTTGAGTCCTTCAAGGCCGCCGGGATTTTCCGAACTGTTCTCCACGGCTACTGAGATTAGTCAAGGTGCGAGCAAGTTGATCCGAACACTATGGTTAACCAAAAAAACATTATTGTATAAGATACAATTATTTGTCTTATAAACGTAAAAATTCTGTTAAATACTCTATTAATACGATTCGTACATCATTAATTTAACCGACAAAAAAATCAGATAACCAAATTACCAAAACAAAATTTAGAAAATCACACACTTAACTAGGCATGACAAATGGGGAGGGATGAGGCGGTTTTATAATCTCCGGGCCTGGTCCTGGTCCCAGGCAGGTACGGGGGTTAACATCCCGTCCCTGGTCAAACCTCTGTCAAATTCCATAAAGAATATCCATTAGTTTGAGTCTATCAGGGATCTTCGGTCCGACCCTGACCTCGGTTTAAATAACAGCCCCCGGTCCCGACCTCGATTTAAGTCTACCGGGGGATCCCAGTCCCCGGCCCCAAGACCCGTTTTAGCAGGAAATCCCCGTCCTCGTTCGAGTCGGATGAACCAGATTACCTATCGGATCGGGACAAATCACCATCTTTACCCTTAAGATATTAAAGATGGAATTTATAGGAAAAGCAAACAATGGGAAAAAGTGGTGTTTATATATTTGGTCCTACACATCCATCACCCATCACTTAGACCTCCCTCAAATTCTCTTTCACTATGCTAACAACCAAAATATAGATCATGATCGTGACCTGTTAAATCTACATAAAATAAAATAAAAAATCACCCAAAATATATAACCTTTTGGTAATATATAATGTAATTGAATATATATATATATAATATTAAAACCATCTAGAATACAGATTTAAGATATAATAAAATATATGATGTATCATAAACCAAATAAAATAACATGAAAACGATCAAATCATATTAAAATCACATGTGATTTTACATTAAGAATGAAATGAATGAGTGTGTGGGCAAACATGGATCATTTCTTTACAAAACCCCTATCTCCCCATTCATATTATAACCTACTTTTAAAAACTTTATCTTGATGTTTACAATAAGACATCTTAAACAATAAAGTTATATATATATATATATATATATATATATATATAGAGAGAGAGAGAGAGAGAGAGAGAGAGAGACCTCTTCATTTGTTAACTAGAAAATAGCTGGTAACTTTATTAACCCATCCGGACCGTTCAAAAACTACATCTATGGTTGAGATAAAACGGTGGCGTATTTGTAGTTAAAGAGAAAATATAGCGTGTGTTTAGGGATGAGTAATAGACGAACGTATGTGAACAAGAGTTATTAAAGTTATAATATGTTTTTTTGTTTATAAAATTTAAAATTCATCTAATTAATTTCATAAAAGACGTAACAATGGAGTTTCTGCATAAGAACCGGATACAATAAACACTAATTCTTAAATAAAAACAAATTTTTATACGTAAATAAATCATATGTCAAAGTATAACCCGTAATTCGAAAGATGATTATACAATGTAATTTTTAATTTTAAAATCTTAATTTATAGGTTTTGATTATTGTCTTAGGGTTGTTTACCAAATTTTTTATCAAGTCATGTATGGATAAATTTGTCTTTCTGGATAAAAGAGTGTTGTTTAATTTTTTTTTTATCTGAACCAACAGTTTGAATAACATAAATAACCGATTTACCCCCCAATATTAATTATTTGAACATCAAAACAAAAAATCATAAAGAGGCCGACAATGAGGTGTCTCGTATGGGAAGAAAACGATGCTTTAAATAAGGGGTAGAGATGTCATTTTTGTGGCTGAATGAGGACAACACACTATTTCTATCTGTGCAATTAAGCCATGTTCTGTGCGAATAAACTGTAAGTAAACAACCCAAATGAGCTGTGATAAGCCCAATTAAGCCACGAGTAAACAACCCCTTAATGAAATAAGAAAAAAATAAAAAATAAATGGAATTTTTTTTGACACAGAAATTAAGTAAAGAGATTGAGATGGCATGGGCTGAATGGTGAGTTGTATACATAGTCATAGACCAAATTAAATGTTGGGTTCAGATTTTGTTTTTCATGTTCACTAGACACACAGCAGAACATGTTTTTTTTTTTTTTTTTTTTTTTAAATTTAGAAAAGTAATATTTTATATGAATTTTACATTTTTTTTTAATTCAAATGAAAGTAACATATATTTTAACACATTTGAAATTATTTAATAAAAATAAAATATATATTTAGGGTTGGGTTCATGTGAGATCAAAGGTTTTTCGTGAGACCCGTAAGACCAATTTATGTTCATCGATCAACTTTATAAGCTAATGATCTAATGATCTAAAGTTGTACGGTGACAATTTTGTGATTATTGAGAAGTCTCGTGGCAATTTTGTGATTATGAAGGTTCAGATTGTAGATGTAATCCAAGGGCTGATAATTGGTCTTACGGGTCTCACGAAAAACCCTTGGTCTCACATGATCGCAAATTTATATATTTAAATGTATTTTTATTAAAGGCCCATATTGAGAAAAGAGGCATCCAAGTTTTTTTGGTTTTGGGCTTTCAGACTTATTTGCACTTCATACATGATAATAAGAGGAAGTTGTAATCTCGTAGTTCCTACGGGTGAAGATGACAGGATCGGTCCAATCATCTATAACTCTGCTAGACCTCATATTGGAATAACCGAATAAGTTTATACATGCATCTTTAAACTGTTGGGGGATCAATAAGTTATGTTGCGGGATCAGTAAGTTATAAAATTCTAACCTACCAAATCTTAGAAGACTGCTTAGAAAACAACGATTTTCAATTCTTGCTCTGCTTGTTGTATAACGGATCGTGAAATGGTTGAAGTGTGTCGTTCACAGTAATGTGGTATGGAATCCTCCATTTCAAATACCAACATCCAACTGTAACACACGTATATGAATGAAAAATACCAATTAATCTTGTGGCCATAAGTTTTCATATCTCTAATTTTTTGATGCTTAACGATATCTATAAGTAACGGACACTTTTGCAACCATATGCTTATCCATTGGTGTACAATTTGCCATGTCACGTAAATAAGAAATTTTGTATTTCCAATCGTATAATTTATAAGACCGTCATCTTTAGTGGAGAAGACAAATATTATACCAAATACCAAATTTGACTCGATATTAATCCATCAAGGATGCCAAATCTTACATCGATTTTGATGTAATGAATAGTAATACACCAAATAAAATAAAAATAAAAAAAATAAAATCATGATTAATTCATGCATTAAAAATAAAATAAAAAGATCGACTGAAATTGATAAGGGAGTTTATTTAACGTCAGATAGAATTTATTTAGAATAACTCTCAGATGAATAGTGTAAACGGATCCTTGTGCTAAATGAACTGTCTAGATATCATGTTGTCATTCCTTTTTTCTTTAAGATTTTTTTTAAACATAGAAGGTATTTTCTGAAGGATTATGGCTTTATAACGAACGAAACACACCAAGAAAAACCGATTAAATATTGTTTGTCGAGTATCATTTATATAAGGTCTTACGATACAAAACTAAAAATAACCAGCACCTATCTTGACGAGAAACGCCCACTGCCGTTCAATCTCGCCATACAAATCATCGGTTGGAAGCCGATGGCGGCAGCAAGGACAAGTGTTCCTCTTGACCAGCCATGGCAATATGCACATCCAATGAAATTGATGTTCACAAGGCAATTCACACACATCTCTCCCTTTCCTCATCTCTTCCTTGCATATAACACACTCCTTTCCTCCTTGTTGCACCTCTACCGATGGCAGTGCCACCACTGCCGCCACGGATGCCGCCACCTCTTTCCCTTCCTTCCTATCTCCACAATCCATCACATCAACGAACTTCCTGCACTTCGTCACTACTTCAATATACTTGATCAACGTTTCACTGTTGGTAAAACTGACGCCAGATAGAGTCAACATGGTATCGGAGACGTAATTGGAAAGAGAAGCACGCCAATCCATTGGTGACAAGGTCTTGAGTGATTCAGGATCATGTTGGTGGAGTTCACATAGTAGCAACAGCAGGAGAACAGAGTCAAGATCACGGCCATAGAGAATGTTGGTGGCATAGGGTGGCATTCGGGTGGTTCTGGGGAAGAGGAAGTGAGAGAGGTGGGAGAGGATTGACAAGAGGTGGCGTGCAATGAGACGGGATTTTTGATGGAGGGAGAGGGAATGAAGGTGGTGGAGGGAAAGGGAGAAGAGGGTGTGGGAGGACAGGAGGAAGGAGAGACGGCGGTGGTGGAAGTGGAAGAGGGCGGAGATGGAGGTGGTGAGGGAGGAGATTTGTGGTGGGCTGAGGGTGGAGAGGGCTGCTATGATTACGGTTCCGGTGGTATTCTCTTCCATTATGGGATCATGTGCCAAGAGAAAAAAAGATAAGGGATTTTATTCTGGTGGTTAGTGTGTGGGGAGAAGAGTGTTTCTGAATTTGTGGTGGGCTCAGTTTGACTTGGAACACTCTGCTTTTGTGATTCACAAGTTCTACTTAACTAATTTGTCACTCTCTACATCTTATCAAAAGAGTAGTTCTATAAAAATCTGAAATTTAGTGAAATAAGATCATCTTTTGTACCTGTGGGGTCAGAGGTTCAACACATTTGGAGTCTTGCATTAAGAACTTGTACCCTGCACATCAAAAACCGTACATATGAGTGTAAAATTACCATGCTACCCATATGCAGAAACATTGTCAAGGGTCTCAAAGGAGAAGAGAAAAGAACAGAAGATGATCTGATCTCCCCTGAGCAAGTGAACTTTATAAATTATGAGAAGCATGAAAAGATGCTTTCCTAAAGCAACTAATGCAATTATGTATTGTAACAAAAGAATTGTCATTGGATACCAATTTTGCAATAAAAGTACCAAAAGTGAAGGAGAGGAAATATTATATGAAATCTGTACTAATATTATGCTTTTGAGATCTTGGTTAAGTATTTTAGATGACCCTTGCTTGTTAAGTGATCCTAGTGATGATCATTTAAAATATTTCCAAGATTAATGACCCCAAGAAGCAATTGAAATGCAATTTTGATTTCTCTGTATATGAAATGCTACTTTTAGGTGGACAATCAAATAATTGCACTTCATAGTTGTACAATTTGTTATATACTACATATATGTTCGAGCTGTCCCCAAAAAATGTCTATATTTGACTCGAGTGTTAAATGAATTACCTTTATAATTGAAAACTGAACAAAAATTATTCTCTTTGTGAAGAAGAAGGGCCATAACCACATAAAACCATCAAGAAAGTATTCAAACAGAAAAGAACGTAGTAACTGGAGGAAGAACCACTATTTGTTAATTTTAATGTGAAAAGCCACGGACTTTCTATATCCACCATTTGTAAACTACCCGTGCTTTAGTCTGGTAAGCTCTGTCCATTAGGTTGTATTTTTTCCATTCCCACCTGCCCAAAGGAAAAAGAAAAAACACAATTCCCTAGAAGAAAAAGTTTAAGTTGAACATGGAGTCCTAAGTTTACAATATGTTTTCGAAGGTAGCGTCTAGTATGCAGACATAATTGGACTGGACAGGACAAACTTATGACAATAAAGGAAAATGAAGAAATGGAAATAAGCAGATTGCTGGGGACTTGTTTGTATAACTAGAAGTTCTGTAGGGGCTTCTATATAATATCGTAAATCAAGTATTCTCCTAGTCTTGATGCAGAGAAACCAGAATGTAGTGTATGTTTGTGTGTGTAAAAGAGACCTTTGGAAGTGTGAGGTGATGGAGTAGAATGGAAGGGAGCAGCTGGAAATGTTGGGAATTTTGTCCATAAGTGTGTGTCTGGTTGGGCCATGTTTGGTATCCTTTATTCTTTTCATCCTCTTATTTTACTAATAAGGCAAGCAGAAGTGAATAAAAAATCATTTGGCCCATTCATGCATTTCTCTACATCCTCTTGTCCCTACATCAAGCATTAATAATGGACAAGTGTCGTAAACTAATTACAACCTATGTGGGAATATGTGTGATTGTCAATTGTATACTCGGCAGTTATGCTCGGTAATTGTACAGCTTACAGATCCCAGTTTCGTCTATCGAAAATGCATTGGTAATCGCAAAATAATGTGTGATTGGAAATGGTAAATGGGTAATCTGTGCTTTACTAGTACCATGACACCAGAAGTCTTGAGCTGTACAATCTTCTGCCCAAGCTTTTTTTTTTGCACACATTTTTTTGCAAGCCGTGGGCCTTCACGGAAAAAGCTGCTCTACTCTCTATGGTAGAATACCCAACCTACCCAGTGGGACATACCAGGTTCATTTGATTTTCTTTAGTTTAATCTTCCGCCCACGAATATCTTGGTTTACGAAAAAATCATCTTTGCATCATACTAAGAAAGTAACAAAAAGCTTTTAGAATAGTGAAGTTCTTGAGATATAGAAGTATCATTCACTTTAAATTCGGACTGTCTACATCCAAAATCTACCAAATGAAAAGTGAAATCCTTTTTTTTCTGGGGTGGGGGGGGGGGGGGTTGGAGGTTGCAACGATCAAGACTGTCAACATCTAGCCATAATTGAAGTCATATTAATTTCCTTAAGGTAACTGAAAATAGGGTAGCACAAAGATGAAAACTTTACCTTTACAGTAGGACTGAATGATTTTTTTCTAAGCAATCTTCACTTACAGTATACCTTTCTTCTCTCATCAAGTTGAATAATCCTTCTAATGTCTCATATATTTCCTCAGTTTTTTCATTTGATAAATCCTTGGCAACAAAACTTTGCATTCCTCCTGGCGTTTCTATCCAGCTAGTCCCTGCGATCTTCTTCAGCCCAATACTATCCAACTTAACTCTAACATCTTCAGCCTCTTCCCATCTCCCAGATCGTGAATATAAATTAGCCATTATGATATAGTTTCCCGTATTTTCAGGCTCAATTTCAAACAAGTGATTACAAGCAAATCTACCAACTTCAACATCACCAGAAAGTGAAGCCCCATTAAGCAATGCACCCCAAACTTTAGCACTAGGCTCAAAAGGCATTTTCTTTATAAATTCTATGGCTTCAGATAGCTTCAAGGCCCGACTTAAAACGCTAACCATGCAAGCATAATGCTCCATGGAGGGATGGATACCATACCTTGGTAGCATACTGTCAAATATCCTCCAAGCTTCATCTACTAATCCAGAATGAGCACAACCAGATAATACAGATGTGAAGGTGACAGGATCTGGCTGTGTGCCTTCGTTAGTCATCTCACTAAACAGATCTAGTGCCACTTTAACCTCCCCATGGGAAGAATATGCTGATATTAATGATGTCCATAAAGTCACAGTCCTCTTTTCTGATTGACCAAAAGCTATACGTGCCCCATCAAGAAAACCTAGCTTACCATATGTATCAACAATAGCAGTTGCTATGTAGATATTTCTGTCATAACTGTTTCTGATTGCATAGGCATGTATCTCTTTCCCTCCTTTTAGATTCATTAAATGTGAAAGTGTCGGAAGAATATTTGACAATGTTACGGTATTTGGCCTGAACCCGCACACTTGCATTTCATGAAATAAATCCACTACCATTTCATATTGCTTGTTCTGAAACTCCCCTGATATCACAGCATTCCAAGTACTCAGCCCCGGTCTTTCCATTTCTCTGAAAAGATTCATTGCTTTGTCTACAAAACCATGAAGCATATACCCAGATATTATAGAGCCATAGCTAATCTCGTCCTTCTCACTCATTTCTTCAAAAAGTTGTTCCGCATAGTTCAGGCTGCCACATTTCGCATACATAGTAATAAATGCATTGCAAAGTGGGAGATCCATCTTAATTTCATCATCCATCACAAACCTATGAACTTTCATTCCTAAATCAAGGTCATTCGATTGTGCACATGCTTGCAGGACACTGATCACGGTGACCTCATTTGGTCTTGTGTCTTCCAAACTCAACATTGTTAAATACAATTCCTTGCATTTCTCATAGAATCCTCCTTGAGAATACCCTGCCATCATTGAATTCCATGTCACAAGATCTTTACCAGGTGCCCAATCAAACAAACGTCTTGCTATAACAATATCATCACACCTACAATAGAAAGTTATCAAAGCATTTACAACAAAGATATCCCAGTCCAACCCATTTCGGATGATAAAGCAATGGAATCTTTTACCCCAGCTCGCATGATCCAACAAAGACAAAGCCTTTAACACACATGTAACCGTATAATTGTCTGGTTTTACGGACATTGTGGAGGCAGATAAGAAACAGCAAAAAAGCTTCAGCGTATGAGTGTGCCTGTTGTTCATGGAGTAGCCCATGAGCAATGCGTTCCAAGAAAAAGTGTTCTTATTGGGAATTTCGTCGAACACCTTGTGGGCTTCGAAAAGATTGTTGGATTTAGAGTAACAAGTGATGAGTTTTGAAGCCAAGAAGTTATCGAGGGTGACAGAGGAGAGTATGAGTTTGGCATGAAGGAGCTTGGCTTGACGGATGAGACGGTGGTTGGTGCAATGTTGGATAAGGCGGCCATAAGCGGCGTAGTTGAGTCCATTGGGGATGTGGTGGTGTATGATTTGCTCAGCGGCGGGTGGAATTTGAATTTGAAGAAATTTGGTGAATTTCATTCGCTAAGCTGACTATAAAATTTCTACCACTAATAGTTGGAGGGTGAAGAGGCTTTTAACAACACTTTCGAATGCGAGTCAACTTCGATAAGACTAAACTCGAACTTGATTTTGGGTTAAGTATTTTTGAAATTACCATTTTGGTAACTAAAATGTAAAAGTTTTAAATATTTAAGTATCTGGGTAATCGGTTGAAGTAACCGGTTATCATGCTGATGTGACGAGTGATGTGATATCGAACTCAATATTATTTGGTGACATGAATATCTTAATCTAAAATTAGTTTTTATATATTGTGGTTTATTAGAAAAAAGAGTTAATGCTTCAACCAGTTACTCGTGTATTTAAATGTTTAAACCTTTATATCTTAGATACCAAAATGAAAATTTTAAAAATACGTTATCCAAAATAAGAATCAAGTTAAAGTATTTTACTTTTTTTCATGCATTTGTCCAATAATAAATAATTTATTATACATCCTAATCGGGCTTTGTTATAACCGGTTATGTGACCGGACGACAAACGATCACGGATTTTGGCCATGTTATGATGTTACACCATGGGATGGTTTAAAAGATGTGTGCAAATATTTGATACTTTCAAAGATATGTGGCAATTTTATAAATTTAAAACTTCCGGGTATATAGAAGGAAAAAGAAGGGTATATAGAAGGCAACCTCTGAATCGTTCCATCAGCCCCTGAATCGTTCATGTTCTCGGCCTTCCCCCGTTCCCCATATCGGACGACTATTCCACGATTGTCCTCTGTTGCTCTCTCACCGATCGTCTCTTCATCTCGGGTATTTCGATTTTTCTTCTGTTGATGGTTTTTCTTATATGCTTTTCTTTTGTTGATGGTTTTTGATCTAGGGTTGCTATGAAGTTATGATTCCTTCACATAAAAAAGGGTTAGATTCATGACACTTTTTGATTTTATGGCCATTGGAACTAATTGATTTTTTTTGGTGTGTAAAGTATTTGGAAATAAGCCACGGCTGTGGACTCCTACTTTGATTTGTTAATTACAGTACTGGAAATTTGCTTGTCTTTCATTGTTGCTATCCTTGATGGGTTATATAAATAAATTTTTAGCATTCGTGATTTACATAAATGATTGGGGTTTTCTTTTATGAGCACCAACTGTTTGATAAAATTCAATAATGAACAACAGATGTTCAATTTGAAGTAGAACATGTGATGGAAGCTTAATTAACATTGCAAATTAACCCCATTGCATCTAAACCATCACCTTCATCTCCCTTTCTTCGTGTCTTTGGGTGCTTCTAATTTTAATTGACAACCCAAGGAACCAAGATTCTGATTAGGTTATTAGTTATTAAGTAATTGGACACCTTCCTGAAATAAGACAAAAGATATTTCCTTTTTGTGTTAATGGCCTACAATGATTTCTGATCATGAGTGAAGATCAAGTTGGGGATAAGGAATAAAAAAAGATGAGTTCTGCTTGATGGATAGCAGATTTGTGTATACAACAGATTTATGGGGTCTTATTTGATGTATATCAAGGGGATGTATGGTGATTTTGAATCACAAATAGTACAAACGGAGTTGGGATTTACTATGTGGTGAGGTTGGGGTAGAAACCTCCTCCTTAAGGCTTAAAGGCTTAAATCTTGTAAGAGACTAACAAGATTTCTTTTTTCTCATCTTGTTTTTCGGATAGAAATGCAACCTTTTGAATCAATGTGTGATTTAAGTTGGTGTGCTGCTTGACTTTGTAAGAGACTAACAGAAAGCCTCGTCGTCCTGTAGGTAGGATTGATGATTCAAAGCCCCCTTTTTTGTACATTGAACTTTGTACTGTAGGCATGCAACCATGTGGGGCATAGTTCCAATTCATTGTTGCAGCGCATAGTTTCCAATCCATTGGTATCCATCATGAATCTCATGATGTGCACTATGATGCCTACAGACTCGAACTGTTTGTATGTAGTATCTGATACTTGAAGCTATGATGTGCTAGGAGCAATCTTAGCTTATGATGATATTCGATTTCCTTGGTACATTTTCGAATTTAGACATTTGGATTACAACTATGAGTGAAAAAAATTGTGTCATTTTATGTTGAATCTGATTGTTGCATTTTTGTTTTATCTGAACTTGAAGAAAGTACTGTTATGTTAAATCATACAGAGGGTTATCAAAATTTTATTCGGTGTTAAAATTATACAAAGAGTTAAAATGGTAATTTTCTGGCATCCAGAATGTCCATTCAGAACACTTACTAAACGATCATTTTTCATTCTACATTACATCATACAAAGCCTTTTAATCATTCTGACCACTTAATCATTTTGCACCAAATCATTCACTATTTTCCAAACAGCCCCTTAGAAAAAACTCTCATCGTGTCATCTTACCAGTCGTGCCGATGTAAAACCCTCTTTCTCTCTGATTGATTGGGGGACCAATGATCGTTGTGCCCGTGCTAGCTGCTACTTACTAGTCACATTCTTTCTTCTGCGGAGCTGATCGCCACTTTTCTTTTATTCCGACTGCAAGTAATCCTCCAAGTTAAAATACATATCCCTTCGGAACGTTAGGTCGCTGATCTGTTCAAGTTTGCTTTATATTATTTTCATCCCTTTGATGGTGAAATTTGTAAATAAGTTTATTCGTTGTCTAAATTTCCTAATTTTGTCTATTGTTACTCGTAGGTGTTAATCTGGAAGTTGAATGTTGAAAACCTAAAGTTGAATACAGAACCTAGTAAATAGTAATTTCCAAATGCAAAATTGGTATCCGTTAGTTGCGAAGTTATCAACAACGTTATTTGATCTGCAATTCTTTAGTATTCGCTACTCTAAAAGTTCAATTCAGGTCTTCTATGAACTCTGAAAAAACCTAATTGAGCTCCACATAAGATAACCTAGCACGGTTGAGTAGTCCACATGATATATTGATATATTTGGTCATATTTCGGGGGAAGGTCATAATTTGCAGGCTCATATAATTTGAAGTTGAAAAATTATCTACTGACATTCAAAGAGGAACTGATGGAGTATGTTGAATTGGTGTACTCCCTCATTTCAGATTAAAAAGAGCTTTTTGCTGGAACTGTAAGAGTTGAAATCTTCAGAGAATCATCTTAAAGGATATAGTGGTGTGTCTCATGCCAAATGTAATAAACACTCTGTGGATATCATTCATTTGAAAAAGAAGTCGGTGTTAAGAGAAGGAACTTCCAAGGAAACATAGAATCACTGTAGTTAAATATCTTCAATCTTAAAGCTAGGAAAGCAGTTTGTTTGACTTTCAAAAGTGAAAATTTTAGAGAGAGAAGTAAATGTTTGTCCTTACATATTACACAATCTTGTTTGACATGATGCAATTCTAAATAAGCCGTTAGTTAAACGAATCTGTTAGAAATAGGCCTGTCAATATGAGTTACCTTCTTTAATAGGTGTATCCCTGAGTTTTGGCTAGGGAGGTCATATTCTCCACGTCCTATCTTTCTTTTCAGGCTTCTTCAAGATCGAAAGCATAGCTCTGGGAGAATAGAAAAGAAAGATAAGGGAATATGAATCACAACCAGCAATTGAATGAAGTTAAACATGAGGATGAAAGTGCACTCACAGATTTTCTTGCCTCTTTAATAGACTACACTCCAACTGTAAGATTTCTGAAAATATGATTTCTGGTTTGTCTTCTACATTTATCATCAATCTCTTATTGAAATAGTCTTGTGTTCTTTTTGTACAGATTCCTGATGAACTGGTCGAACATTACTTGGCCAAAAGCGGGTTTCAATGTCCAGATGTTCGACTGTAGGTATTTGGTGTCCTCTCTTATGTTCCGTGTGGATGCATGTTATTTGTTGATTTTCAGGTCTTTGCATGTGTTTTCTTGTGAGATAGGAACAAAGCTTGCACAACACTAGGATGAAGGAAATGATAATTCCATTCATCTGATCATTCTTTACGTTTTATGCTGAGAAATGACCAAAGTTTTTATTTTCTTTCACAAACTCCGCTTCTATTTTCCAGTCTATGTTTATAGATATATGTGGCTCTTACCGAGTTTGATGGATATCTTTCCCTTGTTCGTTTTTCCGTGCACCCACAAAGCTATTGCATCCGGCATTTGTTCCATGTTGTTCTATATCCACTTGTGGCCCTTGGTCATGTTGGTGATTATTGTGATTTGTTGGTCTGACAATATAAAGTTGTACCTCGTGTTTGCAGAATCAGGCTAGTTGCAGTTGCCACTCAAAAGTTCGTTTCAGAGGTCGCTACTGAAGCTCTTCAGTAAGTTTTCTGAAATATGTTTCTGTTATCCCAATACCTTCTGATAGAAACCTTATAAGGGCGTTTTTTGTAATATTAACTAGAATTTTGCCTGCAAGCAGTAAAACCAATTCATACCAAAGACACCAACCCATATATAGTTGTTCTGTATAAAACAGATTACTTGAAGATAAATGTCAATTTTAATAAACATGGCTGGTATGCATATGGTTAGTTATACAACTTGGTGTATGTGAAAAAGGTAATTGTAATATAACATATGATATTTTCTATTGATTTTAATGTTACAATTTACAAAAACAACCTCTCTACTCCCTTGGGACAGAGGTAAGGGGTTTGTGTACATCCTATCCCTCATACACTACTATCAAGTGAGATATACCGGGTATGTTTGGTTTTTATTTATTTTAATGTTGTAACCAGCACAAGAGGAGTGCTAAATGACTCTGTATATGATTACCAACATCCATAATATGATAGCCAATGATCTAAATAACATGCCTAATTGGGAAATGGAAAGCTTACCTTTGAAATCTAAATCTGCTCCACCAGTTTCACTTCCGCCTATGCAAATATTTTGTATTTTTGTTCTTATCGTAGGCAATGCAAGGCAAGACAGGCAACCGTTGTCAGGGACAAGAAAGATAAGCAGCAAAGGGTACTCTACTTTTGCACATTTTCATATGCTTCATCTTCTTTTTGGATTATCAATTTATCATGACTTTTCATGTGACAGGATAAGCGTCTAATCATGAACATGGATGACCTCTCCAAGGCTCTTCAAGAGGTAATCCTTAATGTTTGCCATCTATCAATTTTGCATGCATGTGGTGGTCCAAGTTTTTATCGGAGTTTGTTAAGCAGGATGCTGTTCTTCTTTTGCTGACATGCTAAATATGTTATTTCATATTCTTTCCCTTCATTCCCTCCTTCATTCTTATGGTAATAAAACTAATCACCCTAAGTTCTTTGTATTTCTAGTGTAAGAGCTAGTCAAATTAGGATGCCTTCAATACTCAAGATGTTACCCTTAGTTGGATTCTTGAATTCATTTATATCGTATATAAGATGCTTTTTAGAGCCATTCAGCACCTTCAATTCTGCATAAGATCAGTAGTGCTTATATTGTGTTACCTACAGTTTTTCATGCTTGACTCTAGTTTCCAGTCATAATTTATTATTGCTGTGGAGTATTTTTGCAACTCTGTTACTTAGGAGGAGAAGACTTGTAACCACTTGCTTTGTTCTATGTCTTGAGATTTGAGTTGCATCTTATCTTTGCTAATAGAGCATTTGCCTTGAAATATTATTTATATAGTTATTTGAATTAGATGACACTATGAAGTCTAAATTACAAAGACCCTTAGCACGGAAATTACTGAACTTGAAAAGAGTAGAAATCTTTTAAGAACCATTATAAACCTAAGTGGCGTTTACAGAACGCTTACCGGCAACAGTCACCACCCTCACTTACCTTGTTGGTAAAGCGTTTTATACGTGGTAAGCATCTGGTACATGGCCCCTAAATCCTAAAGTTGAATCTTTGCCTTTCATTTGATCACCCATCTCAAGCAGGCTGTCCTGTGCTTTTCTTCCAAGTTTTTTAGGCATGGAAAATCTGTTTATATGTCCAGATACATGGTATTGACCCTTCAAGAATTAATTCTGCCAATCACAAGAGAATTGTTTATTGCAATTTCTGTTTTGCAGTATGGTGTAAATGCTAAGCATCAAGAGTATTTTGCGGACAGCCCTTCTGCTGGAATGGAATCTGCTCCAAGAGATGAATAATATCATTTTCATAGGTGTGTTTCAGCATATTTTAAGCATTCTACCAAATGTTTAAAACACTACGATCCTGATTGTTAATTTATGCTCTACAACATGAATTTACATTCTTGACATTTAAAAACCTCCAACAAATTAAACGGGTGTTCGGTTCACATAATGGAATTTTTTGTAATTGGAATCCATCAAAGGGATTTGACTTTGAAGGAATTCGAATGAAATTTTGATGGAATTATGAATTATTAAAAATATGTTTTTTAAATTATACTCTTAAATGTAAATTTTAAAAATGTCTTCTAAAACCGAAAAGATTTTCTTTTAGAATGGATTTCTTCTTTAAACTATATACCCTTGAACATAATTTTTGAAGACAAATTTTATTCATAACCCTTCCTATAAAAACTTATATCTTTTCTCGGCAAATTTATTCGTACTCCTGTAAAATCCTATTTTTTTTCGTAAAATGAAAAATGAACAAATAAATATTAAATAACAAATTAGATAAAAAACTATAAAATGAAAATATGAAAATAAATTGTAGTATTTATGATGCATAATAATATATTTAAATCAAAAAATATTCAACATTGAATTTATTTTGAAGGTATTGACAAGATGATTACAATTGTGTAATTTATCTAAAAAATGTATTTTTAATGTGTTTTAGTTAATATATGATTATATATTGTTAATATGATAAGAGTGTAAAATATAAAATAAAAAAGTACGACATATAAAATAAATTAAATGATTACATCGTATAAAATATAATATACAATTATAAGAGTATAAAATATAATTTAAAAATAAAAAAACAACGAGCTTTGACCGTTAATTTGGTTTGTGTGGAAAACTACGTATTAGGAGGGGTATTGAATCATATAAGGGTATGTTTAGCAATCTTTTTTTTAAAGTATATTATTTAAAATGATAATTGCATTACAATAACTGATTTGGTCCCAAAGATAAGGAATAATCAGTTACTGCAAAAGAGTTGATGGCTACTTGATGAAACGATAAACACTTACATCACGTTTTAAATGATGAAAACTCGATAACAACTTGATGGCTACTTAATATAAACCTGATTTGATATTCAATCAGGTTACTAATGGAAGGTTATTGACCTCACAAAAGTTACACGATGATAACAGGATAACTCAGATCATCGTATAACAATCGTAAAACCATTACTCTTCAGCCATAACTTTGATTGAGATAAAAAAAATCAAGTTTTTTACATGTCGGAAAAATGGGTTTTCATCATTTAAGCATTGCGTAACAATAATTAAATCAATATTTTTTACTCGTAATTTGGATCGATATTTTTTTAAGTTGGTTATTTTTTAGGATATATCTGTTGGAAAAACCGGTTTTCTATTGTAAAAGTTGGGTTTCATCGTTTAAACACTGTCAAATTATTGTGAAACTATCACTTTTTGATCGTCATTTGACTTCAGAATACTTGTTTTTCGAATTTCTCGTTTCTTCAAGAACCTAAAATTAGGTTTTAATTAGTTTGTGAGTTTGGGTTATAGTTTATGTAGTACCTAAAATTGTATTTAAACAAATAAATTTAGGTGTTAACTTTTAACATTTCAAAAATCGATAAAAAAAAGGGATTCAAATTGAAAGAAAAATTCAAGTTTGAGAAAGAAAATGTCATTTCCTAAAATTTGATGAAGAAAAATGTCATTTTGTAAACATTGAGGGCCAAACGACAAATTCTTGAATCTCAAAACATAAAGACATTTGACCAAAAAGCCTTTGACCTAGCGGTATGTGAGTCTTTAGCCTCCTAGGATATTAATAGTTCAAATCTCACTAAAAATGAGGAGAATGTAAGAGTTTATTTGTTCTGTTTACCGTATATAATATTATACGCTTCAAAAAAGAAAGAATTCACGTCACTTGTTTTGACAAAAAGACAAGAATGTTTCAAGACGTAGGTGTTGAGGACGACTTCACAATGATGATAGTATATAGATATTTATAATATGTCAACATCTTGTCTTATAAATATCAAGCAAATAGAATATAATCATCACATATCTAAGATTTTTTAGGATTCCTTTTGTTTACTCGATTTAGGGGTCGTTTACCTACATACTTACCCGGTAAACGCTTATCGGTAGGAGTCAACATTATAATCTATTTTTCTAGATAAGATTATAGTATATTAAAACGGTATCGTATGCAACAATTTATCCAGTAAACATTTACCGAGTAAGAGTCTTCACCATCACTTATCGGGTAAGACTCTCTATCCCTATCATATCTTATCAGGTAAGATTTTCAGCCCTTGCCATGTGCATCAGATGAGGAAAGTTATCCGATCCACACTTACCGGGTAAGTATTTAGTAAACAACCTCTTAGAGTGAGACTTATAATTAGATTTTATCTCAATCTTGCATTTGGTTTAATAGAAAGTTTATAATTGAAATTTCGGGATTTGGATAGATTTTCCATTTTCACACTGGTTTTAAAAATCCACGAGATAGTTGGTATTTCATGGGATTTTATAGAATTTGGTTATAATAATATTTTAAAATATGTCCAAAACATTCGTTTTATAATAATCAATTTATAAAAGGTAATTTAATTATATTTATATTTTGTTTTATATAAATTGTTTTAAAGAATGAAATCCAATTTCACCCCAAATCTTACAAACCAAACACATACAAAATTAGAATAATTACAAAATTTTCCATGAAACCTGGGTTACGAATAAGTAGTGCAAATGCAATATGTCCGTCTAACTAAAATCAGAAGGGGGAGGGGGTGGTGTAAAGCTGATTGGAGCACCGGTGAGTCTATTGCTCCATCGTTAGTCTCTCTCTCTCACACACACACACACACACACACACACACATATATATATATATATATATATATAGGGACCTAATCAAATGAGAACTAATTTGTTTGTGGTAACTGTGAGAACCAATATTAACCACAAATCAATAGATAAATTAGGAAATTTATAATTTTGGCAATTTTGAATTAAAATATTAATGCAAGGATATTTTTGGTATTTTAAAACTTTCCTCCTTCCTCTCTTCTCTCTTCGGCCACCGTCCTCCGGCCACCATCCTCCGGCCACCGTCCACTGGCCACCGTCCTCCGGTGATACTACAATGGTATCACAATGCATCATATATGTGCTTGGGTATCACATTGATGTCGTTTGTGTGGTCGATCGAAGATGTAACATAGTGGTATCACTATGCATCTTATATATGATTAGGTATCACAATGTATCTTTTGTTTAACAGAGTCAACATTTTTAGGTATCACAGTGGTATCACCGGAGGACGGTGGCCGGAGGCCGGAGAACGGTGGCCGGAGGCCGGAAGAGAGGAGAGAGGAGAGTTTTAAAATACCAAAAATATCTTTGCATTAAGATTTTAATTTAAAATTACCAAATTTATAAATTTCCTAATTTATCTATTGATTTGTGGTTAATATTGGTTCTCACAGTTACCACAAACAACTCAGTTCTCCCTTGAATAGGCCCCTATATATATATATATATATATATATATATATTGCATATAACTATACGCAAACCTGACCATCCCCAAACCCGTAACCCGACCAAAACTAACCCGAGCAAAACTAACCAAAGCAATCTGAAACCCAAAATTAGGATTAGTTTCCATATTCGAAATCTGATAAGATTTTTGATTTGCTCACTCCAACCAGCCCAACCTGCCTGATGCGCACCGTGATACAACAGACTCGAGCTATTTAGTTAAATTTACAGCTCAAAGTGTGTGTGTATATAGGGCTTAATCAAACGAGAACTGTTTTGTTTGTGGTAACCGTGAGATCTAATTTCAGCCACAAATCAAAGGTTAAATTAAGAAACTAATAATTTTGATAATTTTAACTTAAAATATTAATTAAGGACATTTTAGGGATTTTATAAATATCCTCTCTCATCTATCTCTCTTTCCTTTCTCCGACGAATTTTATTCGGCGAACCTTATTCCGATGAACCTTATGTGAACACAAGACACACACTGTGATACCTACAAACAATATTCACTGTGATACCCAGATATACATACAAGATGCACAATGTGATATCTTTTGTAAATCAATGAAAATAACGAAAATGCACACTATGATACATTTCATCAAACAAAGAAAATACATTGTGATACACGGGAAATATTGTGAACATTATCACTATGATACACTTTTATTCACAAACATCTTTAAAATACGATGTATATTAGGTCATTGATATACTAGGTAACTAATTTTAATTAAATATTTTCTTCTAAAAAATTTAATTAAATAATTTGATTAGTTGTCAAAAATAGAATTACTATATTACCCTTTTAGCTTATTTAAGAAATATCCTTAAATATCTCAAACGAATGGTTCACATTGAATCTCGCGGTTACCTCAAATTACTCAGTTCTCCCTTGGATGGGCCCCTATATAGGATATATATATATATATATATATATGTATGTATAGGGGAGATTTACTTTGCAAACCACATTATTTGTACAAACCGTACAAACCTCATTCAATCAATCATAATTTTTTATTTTGTTCATTTTTTTTGTAATTATGAGCAGTTGATTAATCATTTTTAGTGTGAAGGGTGTTAATCATGGATATTATCATCTTCATTATTTTAATTTTAAAGAAATACATGAAACAGTTTCATTAAAATTTCATTAAGAATTAAATGAAACAATTTCATAACCATATATGAAACAACTTTATCAGAAAAAGTAAACAATTTCACAAAATTAAACAATTTCATGAAAAAATTTCATAAGATTAAACAATGAAATCTACGGATGAGGGTGATTTGCACGGTTTGTACAAATTAGGTGGTTTGCATTTGATCGCTCCTCTTTCTCTCTCTCTCTCTCTCTCTCTCTCTATATATATATATATATATCTATCTATCTATACTATCTTATAAAACATTTGGCTAAAACTCTTAAAAACTCTTAAAACTCTTAAAACTCTTAAAAACTTTTAAAACTCTTAAAACTCTTAAAAACTTTTAAAACTCTTAAAACTCTTAAATACTCTTAAACCCGTTTATCCCTAAACGATTTCATCCCTATCCGATTCATCCCATATCTGAATTCGTGTAACTAACTGCAGATAAACACAATC